AAAGATTAAGAAGCACACTGCCTTCCACTGGCATATTGGTTCTCACATCCATCCAGAGAGGTAAACATGATTAACCCATTTTGGAGATGTGAACACTAAGGCTTGGAAAAAGTTGCCAAGGGCAGACAGACGTCAAGAAAATGGCCGTGCAGACCAAATCTTGGGGCCTTGGTTTCTCATCTTTCATAAAAGAGTAATCCTTCTGCCTTCCTGTCTCCCAGGGTTGCTGTGAGCACTGGGGGAGGGGAAAGCAGTGTTGCAGTCACTTGACCTTCATGGAGTGGGGTGGGAAGCAGCTGGGGCCTGCCCAGGAGAGACTTCAGGCCCTGCCCTCTCCTGTGGTTCAGGGAACAAGTTTGCCCTTCACTGATCTACCTTCTGTTTCTTCCCCAGGGTCTAACTGGAGCCAAGGGGGAGCCTGGCCCCATGGGGATCCCTGGAGTCAAGGTAAGTGGCCTGCTGGGGACTCAGCTTGGGCCATCCAAGGAAGGGGCTGTGGTAGAGAGGAGCAGAGACCTAGGAGACCCCAGCCTCTGAACCTCTCCCATTGCTCTTGCAGGGCCAGCCCGGCCTCCCAGGTCCCCCTGGCCTGCCAGTGAGTATAATAACCTGCAAGGGATTCAAGGGACCCTTTGTGGGTAGAGGGGGGGACTTGCAGAAGGAGCCATGAACCCAATTTCCTTTCCTTCTGTTCCAGGGCCCTGGCTTTGCTGGACCTCCTGTAAGTCCTTCTGGATGGGACAGGGTCCCTGGGACTCTTGGGGAAGGAGGATACAGAAGGACGGGCCATCAAGGGGAGGGGCCAGCATCCTGTGATGGTGTCCAGAACAGGCAGACTTCCGGGAGAACTCTGGGCCAGCTCACTCTGGGCCTACCTGCTGCCTCTGGGATTCTATGGCCCTTAAAGCCCTAAGTTGTCAGTCTCTCTGGGCTTGGTTCCAAAGTAAAAGTGGAGAAGGGGCTTCTAGGTGCCTATCCCTACCTTGGCATCAGGGTGGGCTAAACCTCCAAGGCATCCTAGCCAGTGACAGCTTTCCTCCTAGGGACCACCTGGACCTGTTGGCCTCCCTGGTGAGATTGGAATCACAGGCCCCAAGGTGAGCCCCAACCACCCCTCTGCTCACGCTGCCTCCTGCCCTCTAACCTCCAAGCTGGCAAGCTGGAGTCTCTCCAGCAGCTCCTGGGCCTGCTTCTGGCCAGCAGGCAGCTCCTTCAGGTCTGGGGCAGAAGCCTCTCCCGCTGAGCCCACCTTGCTGTAGGTGGTTCAGGAAAGCCAAGGGCTGGGGCCACTCCCTGCAATTAGGCCTCTTATCTCCCCAAGATCTCAGATCTCAGAAGGTGACCTGGAGGACAGGGTGGACAGGACAGTATCAGGGACTGGAGGAGGGGGCAGAGTGACCCCGGAAGAGCCGGACAGGAGTATGATCTTGGCCCATCTTGTTTCCAGGGGGATCCTGGACCAGAGGGGCCACCAGGGCCCCCGGGGCCACCTGGCAAACCGGTAAGTGTCCCCAGACTTCCCGCATGGGGAAGGATGAGGGTCTTTGGCACAAGCCTGAGGTGGGAAAGGCTCAGGTCAGGCTTCATCTCCATATATCTGCTCTCAGGGCCGCCCAGGAACCATCCAGGGTCTGGAAGGCAGTGCGGATTTCTTGGTGAGAGGAGGCCCTGGGGCGGGTCTACTGTGGGGAAGGGGTGGGTCGGCTTTGGAGGTAGAGTCAGTGGGATGGCGAGGGGCTGCCCCACGGAGGTTCAGCCAAGTGGGGTGAGAGGAGGGTCTGGGAGTTGGCAAGACAGGGCAGGCCGGTGACCACAGAACCTGGCGGGATTTTCTTTCCAGTGTCCAACCAACTGTCCGGCGGGTGTGAAAGGCCCCCCAGGGCTGCAGGGAGTGAAGGTGAGCTACTGGCCCAAGTCCTTGGAGGGCAGAGCAGGTGGTTGGGAGGCGACCTCACACTGAGTTCCCTCCTTCCCTTCAGGGGCATCCTGGCAAACGCGGGGTTCTGGGAGATTCTGGCCGCCAGGGGAGGCCCGTGAGTATGAGGAACAGAGGGCTACAGAGGTGTGTGTGAAGAGGGTCTTACAGGGACCGCCCCTTCTTCATCCCTTCTCCTTCCCCTGTGGGTCTCTGGGCACTGAGCTGAGAAGCAAGAGGCCTATATTCCAGGTCAGCGTGTCTCTGGACAAGTACCTTCTCTTTGCTGGGCCTCCCTTTTCCCACGGGTTCTAGGGTCCTTCCTGTCTGCTTTTTCTGGGAAAGGGACGGTATCTTTGGATGTCTGTATGTCCGATCTGCCTGCCTGTCTGATCACTCATTCCTGCCCCACAGGGTCCCAAGGGAGACGTGGGTGCCTCTGGAGAGCAAGGCATCCCTGGACCACCGGTAAGGAATGCTCCTCCTGGGACCCCCCTCTCCTCATCCTAAGGGATCTTAGTGGCGCCATTCCCTTGCTCTGGCCTTTAACCTGTAAAAGAAACACCTGTGTCCAGTTGGCACGTCTCTGGGTGGAGAGAGGGAGGCTGTCAGAAATTGAGGGACAGGCACCAAAGCTGTCAGCCAGAAGACTCAGCTGAGGCCCAGGTTTTGCCTCTGTCCCCTTGAGTGACCCTGGTGAGTCCCTCCCCATCTCTGAGCTTCAGTGTCCCCTCTCTGAGATAGGGACTATGCTGCCCGCCTCAGAGGAGCCTTGAAATCGCCATTGCTGTCATTCTTGTGTCTTGACAGGGTCCCCAGGGCATCAGGGGCTACCCAGGCATGGAGGGACCCAAAGGAGAGACGGTAAGTCGGGGGTGTCCTGCAATAGCTGTCATGAACAGCCCCCTGGCCTCTGGGGTCCAGCCAGAACTGACTGTACCTCTTTTCTCTCCCCAGGGTCCTCGTGGGTACAAAGGCATGGTGGGCTCCATTGGTGCTGCTGGGTCACCAGTAAGTGTCCTCTTGCTCCTGCACACATACCTCCTCCAGGCTGGAGCTCCTGGAGCTGCAAAGGGAGTGGGGCCCCCTGAGCCCATGTGATCTGGATGCCTGTTTGTCCTTCTTGCCAGGGTGAGGAAGGTCCACGGGGGCCGCCAGGCCGAGCCGGGGAGAAGGGCGATGTGGTGAGTCCTCAGCCACCCTTTGTCCAGCCAGGGTCCCTGGAGAGTACTAGGGGGGGGGCCACCCAAGGCTCGTGTGCAAGTGTGTGTGTGTGTGTGTGTGTGTGTGTGTGTGTGTGCATTACTCTGGTGTCTATACGAGTGTGTGTGTGTGTGTGTGTGTGTTACTCTTTCCATGCGGATGCATGATTGTGTGTGCGTGCGTCACTCTGTGTTTGTATGGGTGCACACGAATGTGTTGCTTTGTGTGTGTCTTTGCAGGTGCGCGTGTGTGTGTTACTCTGAGTGTCTATGTGAATGCATGGGGGTGTGTGCGTGAGTTACTCTGCGTCTGTACTTTGTGTGTCTGCAAGTGCGTGCATGTGTGTGTGCGTTACCCTGTGTGTCTGTGCAGGTGAGTGATCCGTGCGGGGCAGGAGCCTCTGTGCTGGGAGCCCAGGCACCCCACCAGCCCCCACTCCTGCAAGCCCAGCCTGTGCTGATCACATTCAATTTGGGAGAAGGCATAGGATCCAGTCCCACGCTCGCTGTGGCCAGACAATGAAATTCCAGCAAATCAGCCATGGGGCTAATGGGATTTGGTCTATATCCCAGTTCTCTTAGCTTTTTAAAAAAATTAATAGACTTTCTTTTGAGCAGTTCTGAGTTTATAGAAAAACTGAGCAGTAACTAAACTTTCTTAAAAGTTTTTTATGTTAAGTTTTTAAACACATATAAAAGTAGAGAGAATTATATGCTGAATTTCTATATACCTGTCTCCCCAAATTCACACTTTGCCCTATTCAGTCCACCACTTTGTTGCTGATATTTTATATTCTTCCTTTTTAAATTTTTTTTTCAACGTTTATTTATTTTTGGGACAGAGAGAGACAGAGCATGAACGGGGGAGGGGCAGAGAGAGAGAGGGAGACACAGAATCGGAAACAGGCTCCAGGCCCTGAGCCATCAGCCCAGAGCCTGACGCGGGGCTCGAACTCCCGGACCGCGAGATCGTGACCTGGCTGAAGTCGGACGCCTAACCGACTGCGCCACCCAGGCGCCCCTATTCTTCCTTTAAAAAAATAATATATTATTTACTTTGGGTGGGGGGGAGAAAGAGAGATAGCTCTAGTGGGGGAGGGGCAGAGAGAGGCGGAGAGAGAGAGAATCCCAAGCAGGCTTCATGCTCAGAGCAGAGCCTGACACGGGGCTCGATCCCATGAACTGTGAGATCATGACCTGAGCCAAAACCAAGAACCGGGCACCCAACTGACTGAGCCACCCAGGTGCCCCTGTTGTTGATATTTTCAAGCAAATCTTTGCCTCAACATCATGTCATTTCACTCCTAAATACTTCTGTCTGTATATCTTGAAAATAAGGGCTTTTTCTCACATATCATTCACTTTCATACCAACAAGATTATCAATTATTCCTTAATATCAGCAAATATCAGTTATTCCTTAATATCAGTCTATGTTCAGTGTTTCCCAATTGTCTCAAAAATGTCTCTTCAGGGTTCTTGTTCAAATCAAGACCCAAAGTCCACACATTGTATTTGGTTGTGTTCCTTCATATAAGTGGAGCTCAGAGCCCAGGTGAGGTCTCAGTGAGTGCTGGTTCCTATCCCTGCACTTGCCCAGCCCAGCCTAGCCCAGTCCCATCAGCTTGGCACTGACCTCTACTCCCTCCCCTCTGGGCCTCAGGCCCCTCTTCTCCAGCCCCTGCACAATGTGGCCTGTGGCAAGAGGGACCCTGAGAGCTGGAGGTCCCTGTTCTCAGTGCTCCCCTCTCTGATCAGCCCGGCAGGGGTTCAGCATCTCAAAGGTGACCTCATTTCTATCTACTTTGCAGGGCAGCCAAGGTGTTCGAGGACCCCAGGGAATAACAGGCCCGAAGGGAGCAACCGTAAGTGGCCCAGGCTTACCCAGACAGAGAGCGGGGTCAACTCTGTCCAAGCTTCAGAGGACGAGGAGCCTGAGATTCTGGATTGAGCTCTGTTGCTGGCGGGTTGGCTCTGTGACCTTGGGAGAGGCCCTCTTTCTGTGCCTTAGTTCTTTCACCTGTAAATGGGGTGGTGATGTAGCAGAGGTTTGGGGAAGCTTGCAGCAATCTGGGACACTTGTCATCCACTGAGGAAGGACTGTGGCCCATCACCCCAAATCGTCTTCCCATTTCTGCCCCCCCCCCCCACTGAGTTGGCTGGTGGGGGTTCCTGAGATAACCAGACCCACTTCCTACCTACACACTGACTGCAGCTGTCACAGAGGGACATGGGTGGGTGGCCTGACCCCAGGCATCTCCCCACTTTCCTTCTGAGCAGGGCCCCCCAGGCATCGACGGCAAGGATGGGACCCCAGGCACACCTGGCATGAAGGTATGAGTGGGGATTGCCAGTAGAGTTGGGGAGTGGTCAGGGTTCCTCCCAGCTCAGGCCCTGAGTCTCATCACACTGATCCTGGAGGCGTAGGAGCCTGGGATCCTCAAGTGCGCCACTGATGCATCCCTGCTTGCCTCTGGGCCTCAGTTTCCTTACTTGCACGGGGGCAGAAGCCATGGACCCTCTAGCTGGAGCTTTCACTTGTGCCTCTGGTTCTCTGTCTCTCCCAGGGCAGTGCAGGACAGGCGGGGCGGCCAGGAAACCAAGGCCACCAGGGCCTAGCGGTGAGTACGGGGTGGAGTCCCAGGGGCGGCCCCAGGGGCAAATTGCTTCTCCTGCTCAGTGTTGCCCACTTCCCCATGGTGGCATGAGTGGTTGATGAGGTGGAAATCCACACACCCAGGGATCTTGCTCTAGTCCTTGTCCCCACCCAGCCCAGACCTCATCACCACCTCTGTGGCCCCTGGCCTGGATTAGGCCTCATCATTTGGACAGTTGCTCTAGCCTTCTCTTTGATCATTCCAATTCTCCATGTTGGTTATTTCCCACTAAGGCACTTTTCATGGCCCTCACTGCCTCCAGGAAAGTCATTCCATCCAGTCATTCAAGACATGGTTACTGAGTCCCCAGGGTGCACTGAGAGGCAGAGAAAATTGTGAACAGGACAGCTGCAAGGCTTGTCCTCACAGCTCATTTTAGCATTCAAGGCCACCATAATCTGACCCCACCATACCCTTCCATCCTCACCAGCCACGGCCCCTCCGTGTCCTCTCCTTTCTCAGGGAACCCTGCCTTGCCTCTTCTACCCCTACACCTTCAGGCCTTTGCACGTGCTTCTGCTTGGAATGCCCTTCCCTACCTCTCTGTGCCTTCTCACCATTCAGGGCCACCTCCATCGCACACCTTCTGGAAGCCCAGTCCATGGGACGCCCCCTGCCTCCCTGCTGGAGGTGCTGAGGCCAAAGCCTGATAACAGGCCTGTGTGCAGATTGTGTTCCTGTAGTCATTTACATGTGCCTGTGAACACAGGGTGCTTCTCTTCTCCCCATAGACTATAGGCCCCTCTGTACCCCCGTCCTCTCCCACCAGGGCTCAGGGTACAGTCAACTCTGTGATGCCATGGCTGGGCCTTCTGTTGTTCAGCTCCCACAAGCCAGGGCTGAGGAAGGGAGGGGATCTGAAATGGGGATAGGAGGTAAAGCAGGAGGTGCCTGGGGCTCCCCAGTGCCAGGATAGAAACTGATGTCATCTTCTTTCTCCAGGGTGTGCCGGGCCAGCCTGGGACAAAAGGAGGCCCTGGAGACAAGGTAAGGTGACCTCAAGCTGAGGACAGGATTGGCTTCATCTGAGCAAGGGAGCCTGGGGGGCAGGGTCCAGGGGCATGGCTAAAAGACCCTAAGGCCCAGGCCTCAACCCCGGCTCAACAACAGTGTCTAAGCACCTCCTTCCTGCCGCTCCCCTCAGCCCTCTGTGGACACAGGATGGCATGGCTCCCAACCAGAGGAGAAACAAACAGGAAAATAAATGGACTCCAAAAGACCTGACCAAGAACACCTTTTCCCCAACTCATTTGGTTCTAGATTCTGTTTAGGGTTCATCAGGCTTCTGCAAGATCAAGAGCTTGACTAGACCCCCCAGACTGACCTGAAAACTATTTTCCTGCAGGGGGAGCCAGGCCAGCAGGGCCTCCCTGGATTCTCTGGTCCTCCTGGGAAGGAGGTAAGTGTCCCTTCCCTGACATAGGGCTCTTGCATTAGTCCCCCTCCCAGGTCTGAAGACCCTGCACTCAGCATATGCAGCCTGGGTGAGAGTGTGGGGTGAAGCCCTAGTTTAGGGGGGCCTGAATGGCAGTCTGGGCTATGCCACTGACTCACTGACCCAGGGAGACACCCCTTTTCCACTCTGGGTCCTTGTTTCTCTATGTACAGTGTGGTGATGGCGGGATTGGTTCTGTTCTATATGGGTATGACATCCTCAGATGGCCAAGTTGACTGGGGCTAAGAATCCAGCAGAGTCATTCATTCATTCATTCATTCATTCCTTAAACATTCACCAAATACCTGCAACTGTGTTAGATGCTGAGATAGTCTCATACTCGGAGTTTACAGTTTAGTGGAAAAGGCAGATATTAAATAAATGATCACATGATGACTGACTACAACTATGTGGGGTCCTACTGAAGGAAAAGGACAGGGACCCAAAGAACAGGGGAAAAATGATGAAGTGAATTAGCTGAGACCCAGGGAGGGTAGGGGTTAGCCAGCCGTGGAAGGGAGGGATGCACCAGGCCCATTGCCTCACTCCCAGTTTCTGTCCCCCAGGGAGAGCCAGGACCTCAAGGAGAAATCGGACCCCGAGGCATCATGGGGCAGAAGGTAAGTGCCTGGCACAGTGGTCCCTCCCTGGGGGCCTTTGCAGCAGCTGGCACCACTGGACCCAGGATCTGGGTCCTATCCACGGCTCCAGCACCTGCCTAGTCCTGCCCAGCCTTGTGAGGCCTTCCTGGCAAGGGCCCCAGTTTGCTGGTCTGTAAAGTGGAGCAAAGGACTCAGTGCTGGTGTGGAGGAATGGAGGGCATCCTGACCAGCAGGGCCTGGGGTCTGGAGGGGGCGACCGAGGAGGGGGTGTGTGTCATCCTCTAGCCTGTGTGTCATCCTCTCTTTCCATTTCAGGGTGACCAGGGTGAGAGGGGGCCGGTGGGGCAGCCAGGCCCTCAAGGACGGCAGGTTAGTGGAGGCGGCCAGCTGTGATGGGCAGTGGGGAGCATGTCTGGACACCTCATTTGATACACTACTCTGGGTTCTTTTCTCCTCAGGGACCCAAGGGGGAGCAGGGGCCTCCCGGAATTCCAGGGCCCCAAGGCTTGCCAGGCATCAAGGGAGACAAGGTACCAAATGGGGCTGGAAAATACCTGGGCAAGAGGCTTCAGGACCCGGGGGGGGGGGGGGGGGGGGGGCGCCCCCCGGGGCGCGCCCCCCCCCCCCGCGCCGCGCCGCCCAGGAGCTCAGGTGGGTCCTTCCTCAGCCCTCCAGATCTTCGCGGAAAAATATGTCCGGCGGGTCCCAGGCGGCCCTGGGGAACAGGGAGGAGCTGCAGAGGGGTGTGGCCAGGACCGGGGGTTGCGGGGGCGGGGGAGGGGGCACCCAGACGTCCCGGGAGAGGGGAACTCACCAAGTCCTGACTGCCCGCTTGCTGCAGGGCTCCCCAGGGAAGACCGGACCCCGCGGCGGCGTGGTGAGTACCAGCGTCTCCCCTCCCCCCGCGTTCCGGGCGGCGGCGGCGGCGGCGGCGGGTGGGGGTCCGTCGCCGCTCTGACTCGCTGTGCTCAATTTGCAGGGCGACCGGGGGGTGGCCGGTCTCCCAGGAGAGAAAGGCGAGAAGGTGAGCTGGCCGCGCGGGTACGGCCGGGGCGGGTGGGGGGGGAGGGTGGGGGGCGGGCTCTGGGGCTTCAGCGCCCGTGACCCGGCTTCCCTGTGCCTGCAGGGCGAGTCTGGCGAGCCGGGGCCCAAGGGACAGGTGAGTCCAGCCCCCGCGAAGCCGCGCCCCGCTGCCCGGCGACGGCTGCTGTCCCGGCCTCCTCCCTCTCCTCCCGCACCTTCCCCTCCCCTTCTCCTCCCAGTCCACCCCCTCCTCCTCCCACCCCCCACTCTCCCCTCCCCTCCCCCTCTCCCTCCCCGGCGCGTGCGAACTCTCACGGCCGCTCCGCACCACCCCCACCCCCGCCCCGGCAGCAAGGAGTCCGCGGAGAACCCGGCTACCCGGGCCCCAGCGGGGATGCGGGCGCCCCGGGGGTGCAGGGCTACCCCGGGCCCCCCGGCCCTCGAGGACTAGCTGGAGACCGAGGCGTGCCGGGACTGCCGGGGAGACAGGGCGTGGCGGTGAGTCGGCCCCCAGGAGCGGGGAGTCTCCCGGTAGGAAATCCCTTTGCGGGCGCGGCTGACCCCTCAAAGGCTGGGAGTCCCCGGAGCCAGCTGGCTTCCCTGAGGCCCCACCTCGGACGGCTTGGGGGTGGGTGCGGCGGGGGGGGATTTCTGTCCGATGCCGCACAGACTTCCGTGGGAGAATGGGAGCCGGCCAGGGGCTTCTTCCTGGAAGGCCTTCTCTGCTCGCAGGGCCGAGATGCCAGTGACCAGCACATCGTGGCGGTGATGATGAAGATGATGCAAGGTGAGGGCGGGGGCAGCACCCCCTCCTCCTCCCAGTCCAAGCCGGCACGGCGCCACCCCTTAGGAGCTGCTCCACTTGGCCCTGCCCGAGGGTCTGCAGGCCTGGGTGCTCTTTCCAGCTCTGCTTCCAAGAGGCCGGGGACCTATGTACATCTGTCCACGCTGGATCTCTGACTTCCGCAAACCGGGGGGAATGGGACATTAAACACGGGGCTTTCTCCTCTGCACACCTAGGGGCCCGGCTCGTGGGGGACGCTCTGCCTTCCCATTTCACCGAGCCCACCCCCATCTCACAGACCTCTCCTCTCCCTCCCTCCCTTCCAGAGCAACTGGCAGAGGTCGCTGTGAGTGCCAAGAGGGAGGCCCTGGGTGCGGTCGGGATGATGGGTCCCCCAGGACCCCCTGGGCCTCCTGGGTACCCAGGCAAGCAGGGACCCCACGGGCACCCTGGCCCTCGGGGTGTCCCTGGCATCGTGGGAGCCGTGGGTCAGATTGGCAATACAGGGCCCAAGGGTGAGTGCTGTTCTATGGTGGGGGTGGGGACTGGGCAGGTATGGACTTGGCCAAGGCCAGACCCCAATTGGGTTATGGGTTGTGTGGTCTGATGGCTCAGCCTCCTGTTTTCTCTTTCATCATTCCCCCTCTCCGGATGAGGTACACTTTCCCCCACTCCCTCAGCAAAATTTTCCAGAAGTCATATGTGACTCCTGGGCTTGCTTTCTCAGTAGAAAATTGATGGAGATGAATGTACTATTTTATAACTTGGGTATTTGGGGAGGGGGGTGTTGTTATAAATTTGCTTAGTGGTACTCCATAAACATACTTCCATGTCTCTAGAAGCGGGGAGGTAAGTTAGCAAAGTAGTAAAGCATGGAAGCTTGAGAGTCACAAGACAGGTGTCTGTCCAGACTCTGCCACTTTCTCCTTATAGACCTTGGACAAGTTACCTGATAATCTCCCTGGGCCTTAGATTTATCATCTGTAAAATGGGAGATGTTAATAACAACCACCTCATAGCATTGTCCTGAGGATTACATGTGGAGGTAATTTACGTAGAGTTGGCACATAGTAAATATTAGCTATCATTATTATTATTAGATGCTTTCCTGTAATGAACTTGATTGGCTGTCGCCTTCCATCCTGTCTGGACCTTCCCTTTCTTAACCAGTTCTGCAGACGTTTCCAACTTTCCCCTATTATAAACTAGCATAAAACAGGAATAATTGCTGTGTGTGAAATAGAAATGAAATAGCAACCAAAGTAGAAAAAACATCCTCCAGTTGTGAAAAGTGAAGGCTTCTTTCTTTCTCCGCAGGAAAACGCGGCGAGAAGGGTGACCGGGGAGAGATGGGACGTGGGCATCCCGGGATGCCTGGGCCCCCGGGGATCCCAGGTAAGACCTTGGCCCTGCCGAGCGGCAGTTCTGTCCCTCAGCTCTGGGATTCAGGACCTGCAGACACTTGGGTCTCTGCCCTGGCGGCCTCTTGCTCAGCCAGCTCATTCTCCTACATCCAGCTTTTGCATCCCTTTGGAGCACCCGGGAGCTGCTGGGTGGGGTCTGGCTGGGAACCAGACAGCTGAGATTCTGAGGACATCCTGGCTTGTACCAAAATCTGCTTCATGTAGGAAAATGAAAAGGCATTTGCTCCCAAGATTCACTAATTGGGAGGTGGGAGTAATGGATAATGCGACTCTCTCAGAACCCGTCTGGGGCAGTCCCTTTTTCCTGGCCTCATCCTTGACCTCATCCCACCCCCACCACTTCCCTGAAAAACGGGACTGAGAATCCTACAGCCAGCCGAGACAGGAGGCGGCCCTGATGTCCCGGTCTTCTCCCTTTCACAGGACTCCCTGGCCGGCCCGGCCAAGCAATCAACGGCAAAGATGGAGCTCGGGGATCCCCAGGGGCCCCGGGAGAAGCAGGCCGACCAGGCCTGCCAGGCCCCATGGGGCTGCCAGGCTTCTGTGAGCCTGCGGCCTGCCTTGGAGCCTCGGCCTATGCCTCTGCACGCCTCACAGAACCTGGATCCATCAAAGGGCCATGAGCATGAGGCTGGGACAGAGCCCGGTGGGCACCCTGGGGGGAAAGGACTGGGTTCCCTCTGGATGGACACATACCCCATCCCTCAGCCCAGGAAGCCAGTTTTCCCAGGACCTTCCATCTGGGACCCAGGAGTCCTGAGAAAAAGGAAATTCTAAAATATGGGGGAAGGAAAGGGAGGGCATTGGAATGAAAAGTTGAGACCGACAGGGCGAGTGTCACCCGAAAGTCCCAGCTCCAAAGCAGATGGGTGGCTTTCCTTCCTGGAGCATGACTCGGAAGTTACCAAAACAAATGTCTCCTTAATCTGTGCCATCTTCCAGGGGCCATCTTCTTTGGGGCAGGTGGACTGAGGTCTCTGCCCGTCCCTGATTCCATCTTCCTCCCCTGTACTTGCTGGGTGATGGCTGGTGGGTGACTCCCCAGAGGTGGCCATCCTTAAGCCAGCCCCACTATTTCCTCCCTGCCTCCCTCCCATCTGAGTATTTAAACACCCATCTCCCCTCTCTTCCTGGCATTATCCCCTCCCATCCTCACCCCTTCCCCGAGATCCATCCAGGCCTTTCTGTAAATAAAAGCCCCCGACTTGGATACGAACTAGGATGGGAGTTTCCCTGCTGCCACTGTCGGGGCAGGGTGGGCAGGGGCTCCTGAAGGGGAGGCACATTTGAGGAACATCTGTGGGAAGACCTGGATGGTGGCCTGCTGTGTAACTTTGGGCAGACCCCTTCAGCCATGTCCCAGCTGGGGACACCCAGCGTCTTGCCAAGGCCCAGAGCACAGAAGGTCCTCTGTGAGACCTGCTACCCACGGTGGGCTGGCCTGGGACAGGAACTGGTAATGAAAGATTGAAAGACTTGGTTCTTGCCTTCAGGGGTTCCCAGGTCTGTGGGACCTGGATCAAGAGCAGAAGTGACATTCACTCATGCCACTTTCACTCGGGACGTCTAGGGAAGACTGGCTCAGATCTGATCTGATCTGAGTACCCCTGGGCACTCCCAGCCTCACAGCTTTGTAGGCCAGCAAGGCCACCCAAGAAGCAGGAAAGGGCATGGCGGGTACCTCGGACCCGTGCAAGGATGGGAGCCTTTGATTTTCAGGGAGTGACCGATCCCAGTGCTCCATTATTGATTTGGGTATTTGTTCCCCCAAATGAAGCATTCTACTGGCCTCAGCCCCTCCTGAAGGTACAGGACTCCAGCCTGAGGTCCAAGCATTTGCTGAAGCCTGGACCCTCCTACACCTCACCCTAAACTTGGCACTAGGTCCCCACACAAGCTGGGGCACCCTTTTCCTCCGAAGAGCAGGGCAGAGAACTCCTCTCACTAGTCCACCCCCGGTCCTCCCTCCCCTGCCTCAACACACACACACACACACCAGTGACATCTCAGCCCCCTTATCCCAATGACAAACAGGACAGACAAGGTGAGGGAGCCCCAAGGACCACAGGGGTGACCTCGCCCTCAATACTTTAGCAAATCCTGTATCCCAGCCTCCCAGCTCCGGGAGCCCCCACTGCTGCTGTGGCTGCTGGAACAGGCTCAGGGGGTGAGGGGAAGAGAGTGGGAGTAGGAGGGGGTGCCCCCTTCCCTAAGCCAAGTCACTGTACTTGTCCTAGTGCCTGAAGCCTTGGCCTTAGTCAGTGTATGCCTCCTGGAGGTTTTCTGATGCGCCGGCTGGGGCTCCT